CATGTGGATACAGCGCGTAATAGTAAGAAGAATTTTGTGGAATTGAAAATTTCCGGCGTCGTTTGGACCATTGACACGTCACAGTACCTCTTTCCAAGTATGCGTTGCTTTAATGCTGTATGATTAAGAGGAAAAAAACCTGAAAATCTGATGATTAGGACACTATCATCTGAACAACAAAACTCTTACGCCTATTGTGTGCTTCGATTGTCGCTCTCAGGTTAAACCTGAAAGTTCATCTTATTGTAAAAGGAGTCTATAATGTTGATCACTATTTATAATCAGCTTCAAGGAACACTACGATCCCTGACAGAGAAGTCCAACCAAGTTGTCCAAAACCGAGTCAGTGTCAAATCGAATGGTGACGATGCGTAGCTGAGTACTTTAGCCTCAAGTACGAGTCATTGGATGTTTGATTGATAGCTGAAGCACTTGAAGCATCGGAGTGCCAATTCATGATCACTCATGATTTTTTCCCATGTTAGATGACGTCAATAAACACATGCATGTCCGCCGACATCAAGAAAAACGTGCTTCACTATGACGTCAGGCAGAACCTCTCATATGTTTATTTTTCAACATTACGTAATGCTTAAAATGGAACTGTTATAATGTTTGGATAAGTAATTTCCTRTAAAAATTTCGTCATAATTTTTCAGTGCGAATTTTGGTATCATTATAGAACTAAAAACCTATTTATAGATTTACCATTTTGATTTTTGTTTAAKGATAATGGCGTTCTCAGTAAATGTTGGGAAAGCTTCTTATCAACCACCTTGTGAGGCGCACTTCACGCAAATAAATGCTTTGTGAAATTAAAGACCAAAAGACGGAATTTTATATTTATAGATTCAAATTTTTATTTATTATTGGCGAATGATATATTTATAGACGTAATACCATGGCTCAGTTTTGAATCCTTGCCCATTGTCTTTGTAAACGATTCTGTCTAACTTTATCTTGCAAACGAGAAGGTAAAGGCTATCATTTCAAAGATCTAAAAATAATTGTTCAGAAACCGTCCACAAAGCGTCACTGCGTGGAATGAGCCGCCTGGCTGTACAAGGAATGATGAGAATTTAGCGTCCACGTGGTGCTTCTTAATGCCACGTGGTTACGGTTCACCTGAAATCTCATTTCTTCCGCATTTTTTGTAAATGATGAGTCATTTATCTGGGAAATGTGAACAAGAACATGTTAAAGTTTACAAAATGAAAGGGCAGGCTTTTTAGGATGGCTGATACGACATCGAGTCATCACTTCGTCGTCGGTTCCCTAGTCTGTTTCTTGCTGTAGTATAGTCCGTCAAAATCTGTTTATCAATGTCCTTTTTTTTCAAAATTTTTATCAACCAGTCAATTATTTTAAGTGGCTTTAAAGCTAATTGCTTAGTTTGTACATTGAGGTCGGGTCGGCCCATCTGTCGATTCTGATGGCTGGGCTGGGACTCGTTATCTTTCTTAGCATCCTACAAGGCATCCTGATGGCTTTTGTTTTGAGATAAAGAGCATATTTCGCAAAATTTGTGGTATAGTCTATATAATGCGCTGTTTTTATTTTCCGGTACATGACTTCAAGCGTCTATGTGGCCRCATGAATACAGAATACATGTGTTTCCGTGGGCCTTGACCATTATTCTATAAAATGTATGTAAAAAGTGGATCTAGTACTGATACCCTCAATAAATAGAGATATGCGATTAGAGATCACTTGCATGGAATTGTGGGATCATTGAACGATGATCCGATCGAGTCGAGATCACAACTGACATTTTTGTGGATCAAGGATGATAAACGTTTGGGTTTCGACATAGGATCAAAATGTACTACGTACRTTTTACAACACGACTGAGTCGGGGATCGATCACTTAAAAACACAACTTGTCACTGTCGCTAGCGTGGATTGGAGACATAGCCCGCAAAAGAAAATTGCAAATCATATATTAGCTTTGTTCACTAAACACTCAAACATATATTTTTGGCGTTTGTGCAAGAGTTAATAAATTCTTCTATAGCGAAGTTGAACGTAGTCGGTTTTTTCCTGGTCGTAGCACGAGTCTAACTTTTACGGGACATATTTATATTAGAGCAGTCCATGTTTCATTTTGAAGCATGTCATTTATGTACTTCCCAAATCAGATATATATCAATCATAATGACGACAATTYGACCTTCGACCAAACTGTTTATTTTACGGGTTTGGTGGCTTCATTCTTACTTCGTCCGATAAATTACTTACTAGCYCAATGTAATCAGGTTTCCATCATGCAAACAATGTTGGAAATAAGCCAGTATTGTAATGGTATCAATAGTCTCAAGATTKTTCTTTTGTGTAAACGAATAAAGGATTGAAATTATGTCAATAATTACATAGGGGTTTCAGTTATTTGAAGAATTCGCTAT